TTAGAACTGATCACAAGAAATTTGGAAGACATTGTAGAGTTTTGGCAAGGGAGAAGTCACTTTGATGTGAGAGTATAAATTGAAGGGGACCTAGAGGAGCTTGAGGGGGATGATGATTTTGTTATTATTACTAAGAGCAGCTGATACTTAACTCTTTGTTTGCTATGAGCCAGGCACTGTGCTAAACCCTTTACCCCCATTGCCCATGTAAACCTCAGGACAACCCAGTGAGGTGCTGCTGGCTGTACATGTTTTACGGGTGAAGAAACTAAGATCCAGCAACGTTGAGCAGCTTGCCCAGAGGTCACATAGCTAGTAACTGACAGAGCTGGGATTTGAACCCAGACAGTGTATGATTCTAGACTCTGTGTGAGGCACTGGGTGTGTTTTCCTTGCATGAGAAGATGGGTCTTAGTGGTTCTTGAAATCGAGTGGATCACAACTGTAGTTTTTCTTTTTCATAGAACAGAATAGAAATTAGAATACTTTGCACTAGTAAGGATAAAATACTGATGTATGAAACTTTATTTTCACTTTCCTTTTTATGTAACTGTATTTGTACATGTGTGAGTTTGTAAGCTGTTACAAAAGCTGCTTTTGTCTAGACAAGAGCCAGTGATGGCTTGGACTAGAATTGTGGCAGCACAGATGAGGAGAAGTGGGTCTCAAGTGTTCAGCGGTACCAGGTCTTGGTAAGAGATTGGATACAGGGGCCGAAGGAGATGCCAGGGTGAGTCCCAGGTTTCTGGTGGGAACAAGATCAGTCATGGCGTGCATGTGCTCAGTCCCCCCAGTGAGACACTTCTTACAGGGGTCCTCCTGAGTGGCCATTGTACTACCTGGTTCTCTGACTTCTTTTAGCTGCAGCTGGTGGGGCTTGGGGTTGACATGGCACCCAAATCTGCACCTCCCAGCCAATCTGTAAGCTGGTTATGAACTTGGGAAGTGATCTGTCACCCCGCACTGCCTAAACAGGAGGGTTAAGCCAAGAATAAGTTCTTTGTGGAATTGGAGGTGAGGAGTGAGGGTCACAGAAACACATGTGTGGGCTGACGGCAGCTCTAGAGTGAAGGTATGGAATCTGGTTTTGCCCTAGTTTCCTTGGGAACCAGAGAACCTTTAGGTTGCAAGGCTGCAGTGTTAGAGTCCAGAGTCCTCTTTTTGAAGTTCAGGTACAGTTCATTTGCTCCTGGCTTTTGGGAGGCCCATTTCCCCGTTCCCAGGCACAGCCTTTTAGTAATTCCTGGCTCCCCACAGGACCACAGTGACTTTCTGTACTGTGTGTTCAGCAGATACTAACTGGAGACAGATAATGGAATAGTCAGGTGCGTGGCATGGATACCCGTTCTTTATCTGACTGGTCTTTTGACCATGGTCAAGATACTTCTCCCCGAGCCTCAAGTTTCCTCATCTGGCACAGTTGGGACAACACAAGAGCATCCATGTCGTAGGGCTGTGGTGAGGAGCAGCTGAGGTAAACTGTGTCAGCGCCTCAGCCCAGTGCCTGGTGCACAATAAGAGCTTAACAAATATTTGCTGTTAGTTGTTAACTGTTTCTAGGACAGTTTCTCAAGAGACTTAAACATATTTATGAACAAAGTCTAAGGGGAAACAGCCAGCATAAAGAGAGAGTTTGGACCTACGTGCGAGAGGGTGTTAAGGGAAGGGACTGGATTCCAGAGAGGCAAGGATGGTCTGAGGTCAAGAGCAGACTTTAAAGGGGTGTTTCCAGCAGGAGAGGGAACCTGGGGAGGTGGTGGGAAGGTAATACTTTCTGAGATTGCGTCCCAGTTAGAGTTGTCAGCTGGGAGAGACACTAAGTGAAAAGCGGTGACGTGGAGGCTGTTGTGGACAATGGGACATTGGGGCGCACGGAAGAATGGATAAGCCACTCTGAGACCCAGAAATTGCATGCCATTAATTTTTAGTGACACCGGCCCACGTGTTTTTACAGTTTTGCCTGGCTGTGCTGTGTTTGGCAGAATGGCCAGATGTAAAAGTTAGATGAGTCTAGTTTTAAGGGTTTGCAAGGCAGATGCCAGGGAATAATACAGAGGTTTGGAACTTGGGTGCAAGGACACACGTGGTGAGGTAGACTGTTGAGTCCAGCTTGGCCGGGGAAGGCGTACAGAGAAGGTGGAGGACAGTGGTCTGTAACACACACACACACACACACACACACACACACACACGGTACAGAGTTCCTCCTTGCTATTTGTAACATCAATTCTTTGTGTTGATAACTGAAATATTAAGACCAGTTGGTAAAGGGAATTTACTACTCTTTCAAATGGGCACAATCCAAAAGTCGAGTTGGTTCTAGTACATAATTTTAAGTTGCCATCATTTTGTGTGGTATGCCAAATTAGCAAATGATAGGTTATGATCCTTAACCTTGGGCAGAGTTTAACCACATAACGGGACATTTCATTTTCATTGACTACTTCTGAGGAACTTCGCATTTTAGCTATATTGAGCACTTCACAGACAGACACAGAAGATAGATGCATTTCATGTGTTCATGACCAAAGCAGCCTGTCTCTGAGGCAGAAGTCACCTGTGATCTGGGCCTGGTGTGCCTGAACTTTGGTAGTTCTCATTTGTCCTTTCGTTTTTGTTTGAAGAATATAGCACATCTGGAAACAATAATGTTTATTCAGTCACTGAACTTTCGAGGACCTTTGTGTTTCAGGTGGTGAGTTATTTCAGAAGAACAAAAAGCGAATGACAGGGATGATAACCTGTGAGGAACTTCTCAGCCTGATCACGCCATAGTGGGGTCCACACACACACCTTGGGGTGCTCACTGCTGGCTGTTGGTGGCTGGAAGAAAATACCAGAACTCTTTCAGTCTCTTACTTTCAGTCTCATGTGTTTTATAACATGTAGTATATACGAATAGTAGTACATGACTGAAATATGTAGACATCCGTATGTTTGTGGCTATCCTTTTTTGCCTGTAATGTGTAAATGATCAAAAAATGTTGGGCGGTTATTATATGTTGGTGTGTATTTTAAAAAATATATATTTTTGATAACTTATGTTTGAACATTTTCTGAAAACTAAGAGTTTCTAAGTATGGTAAACCATGTTCTTAATAATGAAGTAGATGTACTTACTGCCTGCATTTTTAGTATAAAGTAGGACTTCTTGTATAAAAAGACTTGTTAAGATCTGGCTTGACAAATGTGAGTCTTTTTCTCAAGTGAGTATCTTCTTTATGTTGGAGGAACTTTACCTTATGTACCATGTGTCCCTTGTTCTAAAGCACCAAGGGCTCCTACCAGCTGTCAAATGTTGCGGACCAGAGCATGGAGAATGCTAGAAGGCCACATGCCCGGTCCCCTGTCAGTCCCATCCCAAAGGGTGACCTCTGTGAACTACACACACACACGCCCATTGACATCATAAAACAACAGGATTGGGACGCCACCAGAAATTTCCTGGACCCAATCTCTTTGCTCATTGTAGGTGTTTTCTCAATGTGAAATTTCTCACTTTCAGAGAGCTATGAAATCCTTGGTTCAAAGAGCTCTTCCCTTCCTCATCCTGAGAATGCTTTTTCCTCAAATTAGATAGAAAAACTAACTAAAAACTGCCATGAAGAACCTATTTTAAATGCAATAAATTGAATAAGATCTAGGTTCTGTAGAGGCTTTTGTTTTCCTTCTTATTTTTGTGATAAATATACTAATTTATATTTGACACTGTCATTAAAAAATATTTTTAGAGGTGTCTAGGTGGCTCAGTCGGTTAAGCATCTGACTCTTGATTTTGGCTCGGGTCCATGATCTCACGGTTTGTGATTTTGAGCTCCACATCAGGCTCTGTGCTTACAGAGTGGAATCTGCTTGGGATTCCCTCTCCCCCTCTCTCTGACCCCCGCACCCCCCTCAAAAAAAACCATTAAAAAAGCCATATTTTTAAACCTATGTTTTAAAATAGGTTTAAAAATATGTTTATTGTCAATTTGATTTCCACATAACACCCAGTACTCATCCCCACAAGTGCCCTCCTCCATGCCCATCACCCCCTTCCCATCCCCCCCCACCCCCATCAGTCCTCAGTTTGTTCTCAGCATTCAAGAGTCTCTCATGGTTTGTCTCCCTCCCTCTCCTCACTATTTTTCCCCTTCTTCTCCCTCACAGTCCTCAGTTAGGTTCCTTCTAAGCCTCCTATACGTGCAAACATATGGTATTTGTCCTTCTCTGCCTGACTTATTTCGCTCAGCATAACACCCTCAAGGTCCATCCACGTTGCTACAAATGGCCAGACTTCATTCTTTCTCATTGCCATGTAGTATTCCATGGTATAGATAAACCACATCTTCTTGATCCATTCGTCCGTTGAGGGACACTTAGGCTCTTTCCATGTTTTGGCTATTGTTGAGAGTGCTGCTATGAACATTGGGGTCCATGTTCCCCTATGCATCAGCACTCCTGGATCCCTTGGGTAAATTCTTAGCAGTGCTATTGCTGGGTCATAGGGGAGTTCTAGTGTTAATTTTTTGAGGAACCTCCACACTGTTTTCCAGAGGGGCTGCAGCAGTTTACATTCCCACCAACAGTGTAGGAGGGTGCCCATTTCTCCACATCCTCGCCAGCATCTAGTCTCCTGATTTGTTCATTTTAGCCTCTCTGACTGGCGCGAGGTGGTATCTCAGTGTGGTTTTGATTTGTATTTCCCTGATGAGGAGGGGCGCTGAGCATCGTTTCATGTGTCTGTTGGCCATCTGGATGTCTTCTTTGGAGAAGTGTCTGTTCACATCTTCTGCCCATTTCTTCACTGGATTGTTTCTTTTTCGGGTGTGGAGTTTGGTGAATTCCTTATAGATTTTGGATACTAGCCCTTTATCTGATATGTCATTTGCAACTATCTTTTCCCATTTCGTCGGTTGCCTATTAGTTTTATGTATTGTTTCCTTTGCCATGCAGAAGCTTAAAAAGCCATATTTTTAACAAGATTTTATTGAAGTGAAGTCTCTCATGTGTTTTTGCAGCTTTGATGACGACGAGAAGCATGCTTTCACTGGACCGCCCGACACCGTTTGCTACGCAGAATGTCTCTGAGTGAGAACGCGGTGTTTGCCTACGAGTCTTCGGTGCATAGCACCAACGTGTTGCTCGGCCTCAACGACCAGCGGCAGAAGGACGTGCTATGCGACGTCACCGTCCTGGTGGAGGGCCAGCGCTTCCGTGCCCACCGGTCGGTGCTGGCGGCATGCAGCAGCTACTTCCACTCGAGAGTCGTTGGCCAGGCCGACGCAGAGCTTAGCATTCCTCTGCCGGAAGAGGTGGGAGATGGGTGCATGTTGCTGCAAGTCACCCTGGGTTTCCTTGACTTGGACCTAATTAAATCTCTTTCTTTAAACTTTATTTTTAACTTTATAAAAGGCAAAGTTATAAACTTAAAAATAAAGCCGGCTCCCGTTTTGGCCTGAGGTCTAGTGCCCAGGTTCACGCAGCAGCTCATTTCTTTAACTTTTTTCCTAGAAATTATGATGACGTTTTATGCATAGAATTGTTCATTTGGGATGTCAGTTAATATTCATTGAGCCGTTGAATACCTTGACCCACTGTTCTGTTACTTTTTGAGAAAATGACCAAAGCAGGGCAAGCCAGGGGGTTAGACATTGGGAGAGGTCGTGCTCAGAGCGGCCACACTGTGTCTGGTTTTCTTCTTTTGGATCTTTCCCTGTGATGGGAAACTGAGTGGGTCTAGGGTTCTAGAAATCCTCCGTTTTTCTAAGACAGTGGCCTCATGGAAAGAAGGTACTCCATAAGTGTTCTCTTCTGCCTCTCTTCTTTCTTGAGATTGTGTTTATGCGTTGGTAGAAAAAAAATTGATTTGGTCTCATAATTATAGAGCCTGGTTTTACCTATCTTTTCCCCACCAGCCTGTTGTGGAGCTCGGGCATCTAAACTTCTCTGTCCTTGTTCTGTCCTGTCTCTAAGGGACCTCTCACAGGACCAGGAGGTTCTAGTTACACTTAATTCTTATTAGAATTGCTTTTTTTATTCTTGTTTTTTTTTTTTTAAGTTTATTTGTTTAGAGAGAGGGAGAAAGAACCAGTGGGGGAGGAACAGAGAGGGAAGGGTACAGAGGATCCGATCTGAAGTGGGCTCTGCACTGACAGCAGTGAGCCTGATGTGGGGCTTGAACTCATGAACCATGAGATCATGACCTGAGCCGAAATTGGATGCTTACATGAGCCACCCAGGTGTCCCTAGAATAGCTGGCTTTTATGTAGTTAGTACCTGCAGCTAGAAGGGTGCTGAGCCTTCGAAGTTGTTAAGAGGAGTTTGGAGAAAGTATGTGGAGCTTGTTTATGGCAGATCTGTGTGGGCCGCTCTGTGACGGGCACTAAGTCTATAGTTTAGCTTATCCCAGCCATCCATACTTCCATGAGATTGTATCAACAGTTTGGAGAATCAACATGTCGTCAGTTCAGTGGCAGGGATCTGAATGCATAGTGCAGTGCCAATGAAATGACAAGAAGGGCCAGCTATAGGTTAGTATTCTTTTCAAAAATTAGCAACCCATCCCATAATGGCAGTATTTGATGTCTTTTCCTGATGTGAGTCAGACCATAATTCATGTGTCATTAAGAGTGGAATCTGTAGGGGCACCTGGGTGGCTCAGTCGTTTAAGCATCTGACTTCGGCTCAGGTCATGATCTTGTGGTTTGCGGGTTTGAGCCCCGCATCAGGCTCTGTGCTGACGGCTAACTCAACCTGGAGTCTGTTTCAGATTCTGTGTCTCCCTCTCTGACCCTCCCTTGCTCTTGCTATCTCTCTCAGAAATCTATAAAACATTAAAAAATATATTTAAAAAAAGAGTGGAATCTGTAAAGTGGAGGGTATGGGCCCAACGAATGGGGTGTGATAAGTGTGCTTTTCCAGACTCCTAATTAGCATTACGTTTTCTAGAAGAATGTTTTTACTTACCAAATTAAAATGCCTGTTTTATAATGATCACAACTAAGTTCTTCATCGCTCTATTCCCCTTCTACTTTTATTTGTCCACGAGACCACTTTTAAGTGATGCATTTCTTTCTATTTTGTATGTCAACAGGTGACAGTTAAAGGATTTGAACCTTTAATTCAGTTTGCCTACACTGCCAAACTGATTTTAAGTAAGGACAATGTGGATGAAGTGTGCAAGTGTGTGGAATTTTTAGGTGTTCGTGATATAGAGGAGTCCTGCTTCCAGTTTCTGAAATTTAAGTTTTTGGACTCCACTGCAGACCAGCAAGAATGCCTCAGAAAGAAATGCATCCCTGCACGCTGTCAGAAAGCAGACCTTAAATTCTCACTTTTGGACCAGAGGGATTTAGAAATTGACGAAGTGGAGGAATTTTTGGAAAACAAAAATGTCCAGCCCCCTCAATGGAAACTGCATAGGTATCAAAGCGGTGCAAAGGCATCATCTCCTCTACAAGACAGTGCCAGTCAAACCTGTGAATCCATGTGCTTAGAAAAGGATGCTGCTCTGGCTTTGCCATCTTTATGCCCCAAGTACAGGAAATTCCAAAAAGCATTTGGAACGGACAGAGTCCGTACTGTGGAATCCAGTGTCAAAGACGTTCATGCTTCTCCTGCTCAGCCCAACGAGACCTCTGAAAATGAATGTCTGGGAGTCCAGGAGTGTGCGGATCTGCAGGTGATTTTAAAATGTGAAGAAAGTAAATTAGGAATGGAACATGAAGAAACCAAGAAGAAAGAGCCTGCTTCTCAGTGCCCATCAGAAAAGCCAGAAGTGACTCCTTTCCCCCACAATTCTTCTGCAGCCCCTCACGGGCTCTATTCTCTGTCTCTTTTACACACCTACGACCAATATGGTGACTTGAATTTTGCTGGAATGCAGAACGCAGCAGTGTTAACAGAAAAGCCTTTGTTGGGTACAGATGTTCGGGAAGAGAGAACTTTCGGTGAAAGTCAGGATTTACATTTGAAACCTGACTCGGGCCCCAGGGAAGATAGTAGCCTTGCCTCCAGCGATCGGAGCAGCGTGGAGCGGGAAGTGGCAGAACACCTAGCAAAGGGCTTCTGGAGTGACATTTGCAGCACAGATTCCCCTTGCCAAATGCAGTTATCACCTGCCGTGGCCAAAGATGGCTCCGAACAGATCTACTCCCAGAAACGGTCTGAGTGTCCCTGGTTAGGTATCAGAATCAGTGAGAGCCCGGAACCGGGTCAGAGGACTTTCACAACGTTAAGTTCCGTCAACTGCCCTTTCATAAGTACTCTGAGTACCGAAGGCTGTTCTAGCAATTTGGAAATTGGAAACGATGAGTATGTTTCAGAACCCCAGCAGGAGCCTTGCCCGTATGCTTGCGTCATTAGCTTGGGAGATGACTCGGAGACGGATACTGAAGGTGACAGCGAGCCCTGTTCGGCCAGAGAACAAGACTGCGAGGTGAGGGGAGAACGTGTGTGTTGCCGAGTCTTTGTTTTACCACTGTTACTCGGTATATTTACTCTGCGTCAGCTCCTGTGGCACCCCTAGAGATATATGAGCAGGTCCAGGGAGGGAGGAGGGGACCCGGAGACAGTTATAAAACTGTGTGATCAGTACCAAAGAGTGCTGAAGTTTGAAGGACTTCTGTGTTCATAGATTTCAAGCGGGTGTATTTATTTTTGTCGTGGAATGGAGTCACACATTGGCTGTTTAACTTTAACTCAAATGCCCTGTCTCTTTTAAAAAAAAAAAAAAGAGAGAGAGAGAATCTGTAATTGTTTCCTGGTAACTCCTGGAAAAATGCAACATACATTCCAATCTTAGTCATTGCTGCAGGATCTCTGAACTTGGGACTAGTTACTTGGCAGTGACTTAGCAGTGACTAGGTGTAGGAATGTGGGAGAGTTTTCTTTGCCCTCGTTTTTCATAGCCGTCAATTTTTTTCTTATTTTCCCTTAGCCATTTCAGCCATTAATTTAATGTCTTAATAATTTGGCATGAGTTACCTGTAGCTGGCTGGTATGGGATTAACCTTACCAAGCTTGATCTGTGTACTCTGTGCACAGATGTTTGTTTGTGTTTGATAGATGCTTTTTTGTAAAACATTACCATAATTCCAGTGATAATAAAGCCTTCTTGGTTCTTTATCATTTTCTTTGTTTTCTCACTGTTGGATGACATGGGTTTGAGTGACAAGTTTTTTTTTTTTTTCCTCCTTAACTTTGGAAGGAGATTGGTGATTTAATTTATTAAGTAATACGTGTGCATGAATTACATCTATGGATTTTTATATGACATTTATAAATCCATATACTAGATTTTAATTTTAACTTAATGGAACTGTGAAAAGAATGTTAAAAGTAAAACTTTTAAGAAATTGTAAGACAATTTGTGTAACTAATTTCTGTATGTTTGAAAGACAAACTAAGTAGGTTGCCAGAGAAATTAATCAATGTTTTATATGCATAATTAATATAATTATATTGTCCCACAATTTTGTCGTTAAAAAATATCTTAAATTTTTCCAAATTTAAGTATGTTGAAGATGTTAAAATATTCATTAGGTTTTTCTAACCATTTCTGTATTGGCGAGTGAAAAAGTGAAATGTATAGATTTTTGAGTTATATGAAAAACTACCATTCCTTGGCAGAAAAATTAGTTTTCTAAAATGCTTGAGAAATTACTAGTGTAGTTATACCAGTGTTAAATCAGTGCTGCACAGTAATATAAATCACAGTATAAAATAGATTTTTTTTTTTGGTTTGGTTAAACACATGTAAACACTTTATAAAGACTTAAAGATATCTGTGTGTTAATTAACATGCCCACATAAATTAAGTTCTATTTTTTATTTTAAATACATGAATATTTGTGTTCATATTTTTATTTTTCTAAAAACATCTGTGTCTCAATTTACTCTCTAAAATAGGCTAGAAATATCAAATTATCAGTCTTTATTATAGGGATTATATGGAAACTGGGAATAGAGGTCTGCTTTTTTTTTAAGGTCTAAATGAAATTTTCTAGAAAATATAGATGTAGATCTTCCTCTTCCTAGATGTAAGTATAAGTACGTTACTCCGCAGCAGTTACTAATGTTTATTTTACATTCTAGGTGAAGCTGCCATTTAATGCACAACGAATAATTTCACTCTCTCGAAATGATTTTCAATCCTTGTTGAAAATGCACAAGCTGACCCCAGAGCAGCTCGATTGTATCCATGACATTCGAAGGAGAAGTAAAAACAGAATTGCTGCACAGCGCTGCCGCAAGAGAAAACTTGACTGCATACAGAATCTTGAATCAGAAATCGAGAAGCTGGTAAGTCCACGGGTGTCCTGTTACTTAAATTCCACCACATCCATTCAGTTATTCCTTTTTTGTAGAGGAAATAGCTGTCTCCATTCCTGAGTCCGATATGATGCTCAGTTATACATTAATTTCAAAATTCACCAATTACCATTTTAAGAAAATAATTTATATGATGTTTTTAGAAAGCTTAGGAGATAAAAAATGAGTTTTCATAAACTATTTTACTTAGGCTAGTATTCTACATCTTTAGTGTGATATGCTATTAGTATAAGCTATTAGTATCTAGTATATAATAGTAAATTTTGGTTTTTTTTTTTTTTCTTTACTGTCTACCTAATTCTTAGTGGTTGAAGAAATTCTGAAACACTTTAATCTCTTTGTACTCTGTTTGGTGTCTATAAAAGATAATGTTCCAATTGTTGGTTTAAATGAACTGTAGACTTGAATAACTTGTGGTCAATACCAGAACAAATAAACCAACTTGGATCTTTTGTCTAAGGGAAAAAACTCATTGGCTGGTATGAATCTACCGAGACTCTCGAGGGAGAGGAGTGCTTACTGTATGAATCTTGTTATTTATTCCAGCATCAAAACACAAAGTAATTGAAAAGTGGATTAACTTGCACCTAGGTTCTCTGTTCTCCAGTGGTTGGTGGAAGCAAGCACTGTGTGAAAGAGACAACTATGGGGGCAGCAGCTGTAGTTAGAGACATCAGGGAACCCGCACTGAGAAACAGCAAAAACATTCTTGGACTGTTTAGTTTGGAGTCTTTGTTAATTACTGGTCTGGGGAAATACATTCTTATTTTGTGCTGTACTGGGTCGTTATGACAATGTTGTGATTTCCTCCATTCAATTCATCTTTGCCCTCATCACAAAAAGAGAAAAGAATAAAAAAACAATCTGTGCCTTTATATACCTTCAAAAAGTGGAAAAATAAAAATTTATTCTGCATCTCACCTGTTGTATTAACTTGGACACTGGCTGTGAGAAATAGAAACCATTTTAATGAATGAATTTATTGTAAGGATACAGGTGTGTCTCATTTAGAAGCCAAAGCATGGAGCAGACATTGTACGTAGTATAGAGCAAGAGTGTGGGAAACTGCCAGGAAGCCAGAGAATCTTCTGTTAGCTTGTCTGTGTGCTCCTGCTCACCATGCACACCACAGGGCGACTGTGTGTGCCACTAAGTGCTTATGTGTGCAAACCACAGGGCGACTGTGTGTGCCACTAAGCGCATATAAGCCCGTATCACAGGGTGATTGTGTGTGCTATTACGTGCATATGTGTGTACCACAGGGTGACTGCACTGCGATGTGTGTATGTGTGCACACCACACGGTGACTGCGCTCGATGTGCGTATGTGTTTACACCACATGGTGACTGTGTGCTGAGATGTATGTATGGGTGCACACCACAGGGTGACTGCATGCTTGATGTGTGTACGCGTGCACACCACAGGGTGACCGTGTGCTGAGACGTGTGTATATGTGCACACCACAGGGTGACTGTGCTGTGACGTTAGTATGCGAAGGGTGGCTGCATGTGGTTCCTGAGTAGTCTCTCTCTCCTCCAGGATCTAGTTAGGGCAGAAACTATAGTTTTAGTTCTAAATTCCCAAGGAGGTGAGCTTCTAATTGGCTCATTTCAGCTGTGGTGTCCTCGTCTGTGATGAGAGAGAGGGGACAGGTAGCTACAACACAGCTGCCAAGAGCCCACCTCTGGGCAGGCAGGGCAAATGGCCTGCCAGGGGTCTGCTCACCCGGATGTGCACTGGTCTGACTGTGCTCAGCTTCGTCTCTTCCCACTTCCCACTTCTCCAGAGAAGACATGCTAGCTTTTTTTTTTTTTTTGAAGAGTGACTTTAGCTTCCTGAACTCACTGCCCTGTCCTTCATGCTACTCTCTGTTCCAGTGATTTAAAAAAAAAATTTTTTTTTTAATGTTTATTTTTGAGAGAGACAGAGCATGAGCAGGGGAGGGGCAGAGAGAGGGGGAGATGCAGAATCCGAAGCAGGTTCTAGGCTCTGAGCTGTCAGCACAGAGACCAATGCGGGGCTCAAACCCACGAACCATGAGATCATGACCTGAGCCAAAGTCAGACGCTTAACTGACTGAGCCACCCAGGTGCCCCTGTTCTAGTAATTTTTATGGGCACACTCTAGTTGCAAAGTGTAAGGGGCACTTGTAAAGTTCAATCCTGTGACAGATGTCTCTCAGGTGAAAATATGCAGAGAGTGTGTTACTTCTTAGTTGCAGGAATAAGAAAACTGGCCCTTTTCCTAAGAGGAAAAGAATTTGAGCCTTAAGTTATTTTATTACACTAAGAAATTTGCATGGAATTTAGACCCTGGTTATTTATTGGATAATGTTTTGGGTCTTGTTGTCTTTTGTAAAGAGAGAAGGACCAGCAGTAGTTACGAGTGGAGAATATGAAGGACTGTGACCGATTTGTATTTTTTAGATTGAGATGATACTTTCTGGAAACATGGCCAGTAGATAAGCAGTATTTCCCAGTATTTACAGTCTGAGTGGTATTTTAGCAAACCTACTTAAGGAAAACTCCTTGTTTCATAATTAAACACCCATGTTAATGTAGCCAATAACTGGTTAGGTTAACATATAAATGCATTCACAGTATATATTCTGATCTGGTGATAGTTAGGTGAAGGGCCCCATATTTTAGTAAGCTTTAGTCTTGGCTATCGGCTGTAAACTTTTTGTAGTTTGTCCTAAGAGTAATAGCATAATAGACTAGATGGCTCAACACATGAAAAACAGTGTTTTGGTAATAATAGTGATTCTAAAATGTCTTCAGGGTGGATCTGTAGGATAATTATCACGTATAAAAGACATTTTTTTTTTAGTCTTAATGTGCTGTGAAAGCCAACGGATGATGTAGCTCAAATTCAGTAAATTAATGAGTTGTTTTCTTCAATAAGAGGTCCTGTCAGAATCTGAATAGAACCTTTGAAGAAGAAGAAAGATGTATATTTATTTGGTGGATAATTACTTTTAGCATTTATGGTATATTAGAGGTTAGGGGTCCGTATTTCTTCTTTTCTGGAACATTTCTTGAGAAATTAGGAACGAATATGTTTCTAATACCATTTTGGCCTCAAGGAAAGGTAACGCTGAAATGAAGGGAACTTAGTTTTTTTTTTATTTAATTTCAATTAACTAATTTATTATCTTAGAGCGAGGGAGCATGAGTGGGAGAAAGGGGCAGAGGGAGAGAATCTCAAGCAGGCTCTGTGCTTAGTGTGGGACCTAATGTGGGGTTGGATCCCATGCCTCTGAGATCGTGACCTGATTGAAATCGAGAGAGATACTCAGTTGACTGAGCCACTCAGGAACCCTGGGAATTTAGCTTTTTAAAGAAAAAAAAATGACCAAAATGTATTTCTCTTAGATGTTATCAAATGTTCATTGATGTCAACTTACAGTGATCAGATATTAGGATATTCACGAAAGCACTTGAACTCAAGAGTTGACATGTTCAGACATCATTTTGTGTCATTGTTTTGGTCTGTTGTGATGGTGAAGAAGTACACCATCACAATAGACCAAAGTGTTTTACGTCTTATGGTGCAGATTATACTATTTTATTAAAAATAAACCTGCTTTAGGGTGGGTGGGTGGTTCAGTCAGTTAAGTGTCTGACTCTTGGTCTTGGCTTAGGGTCATGATCTCATGGTTCATGAGTTTGAGCCCTGTGTTGGGCTCTGTACTGGCAGCAGACTCTGATTCAGCAGATTCTCTGTTTGGGATTCTCTGTCTCCCACTCTCTCTGTCCCTCCCCTTCTCTCTCTCTCTCTCTCTCTCAAAACTAAATAAATAAATTAAAAAAAAAATCTGTTCCAGCCACATGTAGCTGGCTGCTCTGCCCCTATGCATACTGTCATCTCCAAACACACCAGTGAGTGGGCCCTTCTGGAAGTTGCCCCTTGCCACTCTGTGGTGTCCTCGAGCAGCACACCTTGAATATGGTCTGTGGGCAATTGGCATCAGAGTTATCTGTGAGTATCCCTTTAAAAATATATGTTCCTAAAAAAAATACTAGAAAAACTAAAAAAAAGACAAAACCAAAAACAAAACAACACACATTTTTTCGTCCTACCCTAGAGCTGTGGGATGGGCCCAGAAGCATGTGTTTCATAAATATTTTCAGGGTAAATTTTCATTTACACTAACATTTGAGAGCCTCTTGCACTAGGACAGAAAGGTCAGATGGAGGCTTTAGAGTCACACAGGGGAAACTCTGCCTGGCTACTTGCAAGGCAGCTATGCTCACCACTATACCACCAACGCAGGCCTCTGCCTGGCTACTTGGCAGTTATGTGGCTTGGGGAAACTGTTTTACCTTTAATGCCCATGATCCCTTGTTGAGTATACGGAGATAAGGATAGTATCTCCCTCAGGACTGGCGCAAAGGTCACATGCCATTGTACTGCTCAGCACATGCTCTGGGCCCAATGAATGTTAGTAGTTGTATTTTAAATCCCTCTTCTTTCTGTGAACATCTGCTAAGCATATTAAATGTTGTACGAGTTATAGGAAATCAAAGATGACTGAGATACAGTCCTTGCCAATAAAATGCTTATATTCTCACAGGGAGAGATTTATGCGTCCTCATGTTTTCCTGAGATTCATCTTCCTCCCCTGCATTCTGAAAATGTCAAGCTTTCAGAAAAATGGAAGAATGCAGTGAACAGCCTCATGTGGATTCAACAGTTATTTACATTTGTCACATTTGCTTTACTTCTCTGTTGGTCTTTCTGGCCAGGTGTGTGTCCCTGCTCTGGTTGTGTGGTCTGTCCGTCTTCGTCTCTCTCCTTGTGCATCAGTTTTGGTCTCTTTCTAACCACAGTTGGTTGATCTTGGTCCCACTGTCTTCTCTCAGTCGATCTCTACTGCTCTGCTTTCATTTTCTGATTCATTTAAAAGCTACCACATAATGACATTTTACCTCTAAATACTAAAACCTGCATCTCCTAAAAAAGACATT